TATTATTATTATTATTGGCTCTGACAGACAGGATCGAAGCAGCCCACCCCTGCAATGATTTGATTTTGCGTCAGTGGTGGTGTTAAACTTTTGAAATCATAATTTTAGACGGAGCTACTACTGTAAACTCCTTTTTAATGGCCGTCTATCCATAAATTTTAATTATTGAGTAACATAGTCGCGTTAGCTGCCAGTGAATAAGTATGAATAAATGAGGGATTGAACCTCGCTCCTAGGTCAAGTTGCATTTAATTACATCTCCACGCCAATTCAACCCTAATGCCTAGTATAAGCTTTTTTTTTTTTAAATGAAAACTTCAGCTGTTTCCACAGTGAACGCGATGAAGATTTTTGCATTTCAAACTACCGCAAATCAAATGGTTTAATTTTATTAGGAGTTAATTAAGCTCCATTTTGGTTGAAAAATAGAATGTTATAGTCATTGGAATTCGCTGCCCAAATTCTGTCTTATAGATGAAAGGCAGTGCAAGGAACTCCGTAAACAATCAAATTTTATCTCAAAGTTCAAGTTCTAAATCAGATTTATATCCTGATTTATTTTGGCATTTTTCTCAAAATGATCCAACAAGCACTAGAAAACTTGCCATCCGTTTATGACTAACGGTTTCATTTACTTATCATGAATTGTTGGCTGTAGGCTACCCGTTAAAAATGGCAGTCAGATAGATCTAGTTGTGAGGCAACCCAAATGAAGTTTGTCTGTTTATTTTTAGTTATCAAGAGGCATTGAACACACTGTTGTACAAGGAACAATGGGGCGGAGGGGAAAAAAGAGGAAAAGGAGGGGGGGGGGGGGGGTAAGAAAAAGGAAGGGACGGCGAGACGACATCACTGGATAGGCGAACCATTTTTTAGCCTTTTCAGAAACCACAGCCTATTCTCGGACTACGGTGGAGGGGGGAATGTGGAGCAGTCTGGTTCACATATAGACTATACAGTAGGCTACTCCGAATGGGTTTTTTAATGTTATCGTAGATGTTATACGCCATAAGCGACACAGTAATGATCATAAGGAAGCGAGCTGTATGGCCCTGCCAGTCGATCGAATCCACGCTGAGAGATAGGCTATAACAATGGAACATCCCAATAGAAAGACGGAGATGCTGAGATTTATAATAATATGATAATAAAAGATAGCATAATTTGTATAGCGCAAATCCCCGCTCAACAGCAGGCTCTATGCGCTTCACAATCTATACTATAATATAATATAATTTGATATAAAATTATCTCAATACCGGAATAGAACTTATCTTTCTGTAATTATTTCCACATGGGAATCGAAGTTACTTCTTCTGAGTTTGATGGCGAAACGGAAAATTTAACCCTAACTACAGGAGTCGGCGACAGTGCTTTGAAGATTCTACAACCCTGTGCATTTATTAAGACAACTCAAAGATGTATGTAGCGAGGTTAGAATGGAGCAACTTAAAGCTACGAGTACGTTGCTCTGTTTTAACCTCTCAAACACATTAGTGAGGTCCAGTCAAGCTCGTGCTTGAGCCGGAGAATCTCTCTAAGGAGAGGATGTTTTGTCTCTAACTCAGAGTGAGTATCAATGCCCTCAATGCCCTTAGGCAAAACATATTTATTTTTTGCAAGACTTTGCCTTCAGAGCATCATAGAATATTGGCAGAATTTGACTGCCTTAGTGTTACCAATGACAATGTTAGACAGATTTTGTCTCTCCTGTAAAATTGTAAACTTCGATAGCGCGCCGACGATGCACACACACAAACAATATATATATATATATA